ACAGAATTTTGAATGATTCCATCTATACAAACAAACTAATCAATGAAGCTTAATCAAACGATTACATATTATAACTGACATTGATCAGCAATCAATGAACACAGGNTGAACAATTATCTACTAATCTGCCTAACAGCTAACAGCCAATTCCTAAAGTCTCACAGCAGAAAATACAAAAATTTCCAATTTAGGATAACATTCACATAATTTCAACTAATTGGACAATTAACAATCAGAACTAAAACCAAACAGAATTTTGAATGATTCCATCTATACAAACAAACTAATCAATGAAGCTTAATCAAACGATTACATATTATAACTGACATTGATCAGCAATCAATGAACACAGGTCAAACAATTTCAGTGTTATGGCCAGAATCAAGGATTAAATGGAAACTAATTAATCGACGCAACTTATTAATCGATTACACACATAACAATCATAGCATACATAAACAAATGACAGAATTGGACAAAAATGAAAGTCCACTGAAGATGAGCAAAATTAATTGCTAGGAAAATGGAAAAAATTAATAAAACTAAATTAATTAGATACATAGATAGAAAATCATGAATACAAAAATAAAGTAAAATACCTCGGAAATATTCTGACCCCAGCTCGAATCCAAATTTGGACATTTTGAGGTCGAACAGACTTTAATCGAAGTATTCTCGATTGAGAATACCTCGATTAAGGTCTATTAGACCCCCAATCTTTTATTTAATTTGGCCATATTCCATGGTTTGGATTTTTAGGGTTTTGTTTTTCTTCGGATTTGGGGGTTCGATNAATAAGGGCACATTTAAATGACAAAATTACAACAATTACATATTTTTTGTGATTTTCTTTTTTTGTAAAACAAACCTGTTAAATCCTAAATTGAAAAACTAAATCCTAAATGCACATGCAACACATATTACACTATATTATTTTTTGTATTTTTTAAAGGCATTAATAAAATTACACACGCACATATACCTATGCAAACAAACAGGAAATCCGTACAATATTTCCTAAAAATAACATATAATTAAAGAAAAGACCTAATTTCGGGAGTTATTTTGGAGTAATTCGTACGAGTCAAAAATCACGTGCTCACAATGTGTACTTTGGTTTGGGATTATGTGTTGTTTGCTTTCTAGTGTCCTTCGCTGTGCCATAAGATAATTAGCAAACTGACGAGAACTTTTGTGTGGCAGATAGTAAGCCCTGGGAAGATTCTCAGATTGAGAGTCCGTGGAACCAAGAGAGATTTGACCCAAGATGCATCATCAGAAGAGGTCTGTGTTGTTATGCCAGGTGTTATTGCTCGGTTTGATGGATCTGACTTTCAGGTACTCGGATAATCTCGCAGTTACAGGAAACACTAGTTTTTTATTTATCAACTATAATATGAGAACATCTATTTTTCAGTTTCACATCACCATTCAGATCTTGATACATGAAGTTTAGGATCTCTATGCCATACTGCTAATTCATGTTGGCAACATAATGCAGAATATGCTTCAGAGGTGGTTTCGGGAAAGACACTCCCAGTTCTGGGATGAAAGAGATTCTGAAAATTCGATAGATACTTTTGGTAGGCTTCCATACCAGTTATGGAATGTAAGTAAGTATGGTCCTTGTGTTGACGCTGCCATCACTGGTCTGATGCCCCCTCCTCTGCTGGAAATCCAGGTAATATTTAATTTCTAACTGTATCAAATCAGTACTTTCTTTTCTTCCTTTTATACAAGGTATACATTTTTACTGGGATTTGTTGTTTTCTCAACCCTTTCACCTAAAGTTCTACACTCACCAAAAATGAATTTTTACTGCCCAAATGAGATGCTATTTTTTGTCTTATGACTTTCGGAAATTTTCTGAAGTTATTCTGGTATTTGAATTCAGCTGCCTTTGTTGTTGGGCAGTCAAGTCAGCGTTATTATTGCGCAATCACTGTTGGAGATGACGCTGTGATTTCTGCTTATCGGTTAGTCTGCAGCATATTGTATTCAGTACAGTTTATGGTTCTTTTCAAGATCACATTTAAATTTTCTATCTAGAAAGCTGTTCTCACTCCCATTTCTTACTTTATTTTACTAAATTGAGTTTCTCTTCACACTTTCAAGACTTTCTGTAGACCGAAGCCGATCAATAGTAGGGGCTATTCTCTCAAAGGTTGTGCCTGCAACTTTTTCGACAATAACTTCTATCTCAAAAATGTTATGGAGAAGTGATCCAACTCCCGCAAAAAGACCAGAACCAAAGCCTCAGCCTTTTGCTCGAGGTAGATGGTATTTCTTCATCTGTTGAAAGAATTTTTTATTCTGCTCTCTCTATGTAGTTAGTCGTTATAGCTGTAGAGGTTGTTCATGTATCATTGCTTTTAGATGTCAAATACTAAATTATATTTCACCGTCCAGGCATCCTGCCATCTCTCCTTTGCTTCCATGAACTTTCATCTATAGATCAAGACCGGAAGAAGGTGTTCTTTTCTACAAGTTTATCTTCGAGTTAGAAAGTAGTTTGTGAGCCACTGCGCTGTAATTGACACTGACCATTGTCAAGGTATTGTTGCCAAAAGTTAGTTATAAAGTCTGTAGGAGTTTTTGGGTGGAGGCTTGCTTGGTGTTAATTAGGATTTAAGAAGTGATCAATTCTTTTTCTATGTATAAAGTTAGCTCCTAAGTTGCTCCGACACGGCAGTTTAGGTGTCGTACCCTTGTTGACACGATACTAGTATGGGTGTGGGTATGGGATCCGTACCGGATCTGATCAAACAATTTGAGTACTTTGACCACGACCGACGGAAAAATACGAGACGAGATACAATTTGATTCCCGAAATCAGAACCAAAACTAGGGTAAATTTGAAGAAAATAGCATACCTTATCTAGGAAATCAATCATTTACTTATCTACAGCTTGAGAACAAAAAAGAAATCCACATTTTACAAGCTATATGTAAGTATTCACAAAATTTCTCATAATTTAGAGATATTTTTATATTTTTATTTTCATGAATTATTTTTAGCCGGATCCCTGCACCCGTATCCATATCCCCAAATCTTAGAATTTACATCTCGAAGGATTCGTCCTCAATATCCGCACCCGTGTCAGACACCCGCACCCGTGTCTGAGCAACTTAGGTTAGCTCTATGTATTTCTTTCTTGTACCTTCTCCCCTCCCGTCTCCGTCCCTGTTTATTGCGGTACTAGGTAATTATAACTTTCATTAACACATACAATATATTCGTGTATTTTAGATGTATAGGCGATTGTTACAAAGTTTCAACGTCCTCTCTCTTTCTTTTGAATTAGTTTCAACCTGTTTTTAACTAATGTAACTAGTTGGAGAAAAAGTTAAAATGGGGTCGGCAGTTGGCACTTTAATGCAAGTTGGAGAATGTTTATGAGGAAAATAGTATGATAGTATCAGTGCAATGCAACAATGATTTTTGTATAAGGATCATTTTTGTGCAGAGTCTCTAGTCGCTCTTGTAATGCCAGGGTTGCATTTGGTGTTGCTCAGATCTAAGGGTGTCTAACGGGTGGGCCGGGCCGGGCTGGGTAGGGAAAATTTTGAACCGGGCCGGTTACGGGTTAGGGATTACCAGGCTTATCGGGTTCAGGTTCATCCGGGTAAAAAATAAACCGTAAGGATTACGGGTACAAGGGGCCGGGCCGGGTTAGTGTAATTTTTAATTTTTTTTTGTATTTTGTATAATTATTGTAAGTTATATTAATATAAAGTAAAAATATAAAGAATACAATGAAGATGGAAAAAAAATACACTTATAAATTGCAAGTGCTACATTTATTTCAAAATTCAAACTTACAAATTGAAAGGTTTATATTTAACAAGTAAATTAACGAAAAAAGAGTAAATTCAAAGGTTTTGCATTGTCTTAGTAAGTTCTTCATAATCAATATGAACTGATTGGCCTTCTTCCGGAGTGTTAAATTCAGATGGGTTACCATGTGTTAATATATCTCCAAGTTCCTCGTCTTATGGGCTATCAACATCTTCACGTCCTTGATTTCTTCATTCCGATCTAATCCAATCTCTGAAATATACTAAAACTTCCAAAGCACTGCTTCCCAATGAGTGACGGGTGTCTCCAAGTTGTTGTCTTGCTTGGCTAAATGCACTTTCTGATGCAACAGTTGAAATTGGCACATTTAGTACGTTCCGAGCCATAGCGGGAAGAACAGGAAATTGCTTTCCATTCTCATGCCACCATCCCAACGGTGAAAATTCCTTTGTGCGAGGCTCTTTTTGCTTTTGCAAGTAGAATCGAAGTTCATCAATGCTCTTGCTACTGGTTTGAGTGTTAGAAAATGTAAAAAAAATATTAAAACTATCAAGGCCTTCATCATCATCCACAGTAGTAGAAGTGGTACAATGCATAGTGGGATTAACATTGCCTACATTAAGAGCATCATCATCAATTATATTTGCATAATAATTATATAATTGTTGTAAAGAATCATTTAGCTTGTTCATACAAACATATATATATATGGGGTTTCAGTTGGTCCAATCTCTATATAAGTATATAAAACATTGATTAATTGGTGCCAATCAGACATCTTAATAGAAGGATTTAAGACATCACCAATTAAGTAAATCACAGAAATTGGAAAAAAATATTTTTTGAATTTTGCTTGCATTTTTTCAACAACATCCTTATATTTTTCTTTCTTCTTAAATTTAGATAGTAGAAAAGAAATTTCAGCTATATGTACTAAAGCCATAGTAATAGTAGGGTAATATGCTCCAGAAAACTCAGCAGTAGCTGTATAAAATTTATGTAAAAATTTAACAACATCATTAATGGCCTCCCAAGTAGTAGTTGTTAACATACGGTTTGGATCAGTACAATGTGCATTAGCAACTTCAGTTATTGGGAATCTATATTTGTAGCAACATTTTAAAAATATATATGTATAATTCCATCTAGTAACAATTTCGTCTGGCATGAATCCGGGCTTAAGGTTATGCTCGGTATACTTATTCTTAAATTCCCTAATTGTAGATTGTCTATTATTTCCTTGAATAACACCAACTGCTCTTCTAACATGAGTAATCTCAGTTGAAAATAAATCANCATACGGTTTGGATCAGTACAATGCGCATTAGCAACTTCAGTTATTGGGAATCTATATTTGTAGCAACATTTTAAAAATATATATGTATAATTCCATCTAGTAACAATTTCGTCTGGCATGAATCCGGGCTTAAGGTTATGCTCGGTATACTTATTCTTAAATTCCCTAATTGTAGATTGTCTATTATTTCCTTGAATAACACCAACTGCTCTTCTAACATGAGTAATCTCAGTTGAAAATAAATCAAGGCCACTTTTAACAATTAAATTATAAACATGATATGCACACCTAATATGAAAAATTTCGTCAAGTGGTGGTTGCAAATGCAGTTTTAATATTGAAATTGCGGCATTATTGTTAGAAGCATTATCAAAAGACATACACTAACGCTTTTTGCTTGAGATTATAAAATTCAACAACTTCACAAATAGTAGTACTTATAAACACAACAGTATGACTCTGATCTTCATCATATTTAAAAACGATAATACGTTTTTGCATACAATAATTATCATCTATCCAATGACACGTAATTGTCAAATAATCATTTCCATTAACAGCATGGCCAATATCAGAAGTTAGAGAAACTCTACAAGGAAGATGACTAAACAAATGACGTATGTATGTTTGATATTGTCCATGAAGTCTAAAGATATTAGATCTACAAGTACTTCTAGGGATACCTTTACATAAAGGATTATAGATCTTTTGAATATACATAATAAGATATGATGAAGAAGCAAAAGAAAAATGTAGACAACCCAAAGCAATCATTTTTGCTAACTCCTCCCGATCCTTCATTTTATTATATTTCATAAGTCCTTCGGTAGTAGGGTTTAGAGTTGCTTGATTTTCATCTCCATCAGAGCCCCATTCTATAGGATGCTCAATTCTCATATGTCTACTAAGTGTTCCAATCCCCCCTAATTGTCCTCCAGTCTTATGTTTAAAAGTATCATTACAAAGTTCGCATTTAACTCTATTAGTACCTTCTGTTTCGTCAAAAAATTTCCAAGCCTTACTTCTTTTTCTCCGATTAGTAGTTGGGGCCACAGGTGGTCTACTACTAGCACCACGACCACCACCCTTGCTACCAGCTCCAACACTACTAGGTGTAAGTGGTATCTCATCTTCCATTTCTAATTCATTATCTTCTATACCGAAATTTTCCTGTAATTGTTCATAATCTATATTATTATTAGGTAATGTTTCAGGAATATGTGTAGAGTCATTTAAATTACTACCAGATGCTGAAGCAGAAATACTGCCTCTTTTTTTATTTCCACAATTAGTAACCTTATTACAAACTCTTTTTGCAGCATTAAACATATTATAAAAATTTAACTACTAGCAAAAATTGAATATGCAAATAAAATAGTAAATAAGAGAAAGAGTTGGAGGGAGTGCATCGAATTCGGCAATAAATTGAACACTTGATGATTTCGCAACTCCAATGTTACCACGAAGAAACGACAATTGTTCAAACTCAAACTTCAAATAATAAATAATACGATAAATGAAATTCCAAAAAAATGAGAGCCAAATACTTGATTGCACTTTAGGTGAAGAATGAGAGAATGATAATTGAGAATATGAGTTTGAGAATTGAGAGATAGAGTGAAGAAATGAAGAAGAGGGGGGTGTATTTATAGTTTTTCAAAGGGCTAATTAGGAAATTATAAAAGGTGTTAATTTAAAAAAAAAGGCCCAAAAATGGGCTATTTGTGCAAAACTGCCGTTGGGCAACGACCCCAAGGGCCAGCAGACCGTTGCCAACGGTCAGAAAGTCAGGCCCCATTAAAAATAAAAAATAAAATATTGAAAGTAGCCGTTATACCGGTCTGGGTCGGTTAACCGGTTCTACAGTAAATCCAGTTGCCCGGGTTTGACCGGACCGGTTAACCGGTTGCACCAAGGTAAACAGACCAACCCCCCTTACCCTATTAACCCAGCCCACCCGGCCCCCTTTGTATCGGTCCGGGCCGGTTCCGATTTCAACCGGTCTGGGCCGGTCCGGAAGCGGGCTGACCTAGCCCGTTAGACACCTTTACTCAGATCCTTCAAAACCCTTGCTACACCTGTGTCGATCCAACACGACTTGGGTATGGGTGAGGGATCTGCACTGCATTTGGTCAACCTAACTTGGGTGTTTTGACTACACCTGTGGCCAAGAAGTATAGGTTGATTGGTATTTAATTTGAAATTTGGTTTACTTCATGTATATATTCACATAAAGTACTAGAACACTTTGCTACTATACGAGATAACTCATGAATAAATTATTAAGTGTCTAGGATGAATTTAATTATACTTGCTTCGATTTAATAACTTCAACTAATTGTCAAAATATATATGTACTCATATATGTCATAATATACATTATTGGTTATATCTTAACACCCGTACCCATACTCCAATCCATATTCCCCAATCCGTAGATTTAGGTGATGACGAATCTGACTTCCAGATCCGTGCTCGTGTTGGGTGCCCGCACTGGTATCCGATCAACATAGGTTGCAGTGAATCAGATTTTGTGGTGTATAGGCTATTGCAAGTTGAAGGAGACACCCTTTGTGTCACTAGGTGGAGAAAAAAGTTGAGTGTAATGGTGTACCATATGTTGTATTGCCCTCTGTACATGACAACTCCTTTTTTCAAGAAAAACCTGTTCAACTCTCGTTATATTTCTAGACTTGGAGAAAACATGGTCAATATTGATTGGACCAAACAATGGTAATTTTGTTTGTTTGCTTTGGGCTTTGGGTAATTTACTTCCCAAATTTGTGCTGACTGTCAGTCAACAAGCTGAACCTGGCAATGCAGGATGGTAAAATAAACACTATAGTTTCTAGGTGAGCCGTAAAACTCAAATAACTGGCATATTGCTTTCCAATTGAGGTTTTATATGTGAAGTGGAGAAGGCTAAAGATATCTTCTGGGTGATTCTTCTATTGCTCCTTATTTTTTCAGTTGAAGTCCTAGGTTCTCAATAATTCACCTGATAATATAAATTTTTGCTGTTCTTTTTCGTCTTCCATGTTTTACGTAATTGTACTTCAGATTTTGTCATATACTCGAGTATCTATTTTGGATGTCAATATAGCTGACATAATGTCATTGTAAATTTGCTTTTTTTTTTTTTTTTGGCAGCTTCTCCTTTGACTTGCTTTAAGGATCACCCTAGAAAGGGCGAGAAGCTGACGTTATCACCTAGTGGTACTTTGGCTGCAATAACTGATTCTCTTGGTCGTATCTTACTCTTAGACACTCAGGCCCTTGTGGTGGTCCGTCTGTGGAAGGTTCATTCTATGCTCTTATTTGCAATTGTTTAGCATGGTTTATCCAAATTATGAATAGTTATATAAGTGATCATTAAATGGCGAAGAAAATATACTTGTGTAGTTGCGGTAGAATAATGTTTGATTATTAGTTCACTGAATCAACTTTTTATATAAGAACTGAATCTCAATGTTGACGGGAAAGTTGGATTTAACAAATGATTTTGAGTAGTTCAGTTGAAATACTCCATAGCAAACGAGATATCTTTCCAGGTTTATCGCCTGTTATAATGATGAACATATTGGTTTGCAGGGTTACCGTGATGCAAGTTGTCTATTTGTCGAGATGCTTGCCAGTAAGGATGTTGAAACATCTAGATCTGCTTACGGTGAACACATGAAGAGTGATTATTGCCTCTGTCTAGCGATTCATGCACCGCGTAAAGGGATTGTTGAGGTATGTTGCTACACTCTCTTGCTGTATCACTCTTCTCGTTCATCTCAGCTCCATTATATACTTCAGACTCATTTAAAGTAACTCAATACAGCCACGAGTACCATCCTTTTGCAAAATGATTATTAGAGTAAACCACAAACACGTCTGATTTGTTGTTTGCTTATGAAAACTGTATCTGATGAAAAATTGTTCGAGTAAATTTGCTGAGCAGTAATTTCTCTTGATAATACTGTTTCGAAAATGAAGATTGAGACTTTTCTATCTAAATGAATGGTTATGTTAGTGTATTTGTCATCTATCCATAATCTCTTATAATTGTAGAAAGATCTGAAAAAGGACAGTTAGTCCATGCTGGAAAGAGCACTTCCAAGGATTAGATGGGAACTCTAGCTGATTGTATATCTGGACAATGCATTGGAGATTATGCTTGTTTTGACACTTGAGTTTATTATTGCAGATATGGCAGATGAGAACTGGTCCGCGTCTTCTAACTATTCCATGTGCCAAAGGTAGCAAGATTTTGCAGCCTACATATAGATTTGCGTCATCAGAAGTATCTGTGTCTTCTTATGTACCTTTGGAACTTTTCTTTTTGAATGGCGACTCCGGTCAACTCTTTGTTTTGAACCGATATCTTAGTTGACATTATATAATAAATTCAAAAGAATACGAGAAATTACAGATAAGGGGACGGCAGCTGACTGTACAGAATGTAAATTTCATTTGTCTGTTACTTTTTACAAAATCCTCCAAACTTCCAAAGAAAAAGGAGGTGCAACGTCCCATTTCTTTTCATTTTGGAATAGAGGTTGGGCCTGGATAACAAGGGAAATATCATCCTCATTATCTGCATCACTGTATGTTTGTATCGCGCCGACCCTTATTAGTGTATTATGCAGAAATAAATGGATGGTATTCCTCGCCATCCCCTTATTTTCTGAGGTGATTGTTGGAAACGCTGATTTTTTACCATAGAGGTGAAGGATCAATCAAGGTCTGCCTGGTGGATTCCAATGTTTAAGGTTGCTGTAGCTCATTTAAGTATAAGTTGGCATGTTTGTGGTGAAGAGGTGACGAAACGAAAGAAATGAATGAATATACGAACATTCTGTGGCCATAGATGTGGAACAATTGGCTGAAAAAATGAAGGTACCAATGCAATTGCCACGGATGATTATATGGTTTTATTTAGTCGTTTTGTGATCGTATATGACAATTTCAATGGAAACATTATGAAATATTTTTTCACTATTCCCTTGTTAATATTGTAGTGTTATCATTTTTCTTTAAATTAAAAGTTGCTTAATTAATTCTAGTATTTAAACCTTGATGTGATGTTATCTGGTTCACCTTAACCTCTTTAACTGTTAGTTTTAATTATTTACTCTACATCATGTATGTAATTCAAATATGTGACATATATTAAACGTGATATATATCGAAATATTTTAGATAAACATAAAAGATAGTAACGCTAACATACAGCTGTTATCTTGTACTCTATTAAAAATGTTTCGAGGAGAATTCAAATCCTCGCTGTTGGATCTTTCATGACTCATCATTTTCTGTCTTGTTTCATGCTAATTATTGTCATTTCAGGATTCATTTTAATTGCTTTACTTTTTGGGATCGTCACGACTCATACCATTATCTGATTTCATGCAAATTATTCTCATATTTCGGGATTCATATGATTGCTTTACTTATTTGGGTATCAGTGCTAAATATATACTAGAATGAAGTCATCCATTTTGGTGAATTTCGAAGCAGTCGTAAAGAACAAGGAAAACTAGGAAACAATTTCACTTTCCATAGGACATTATATTGTTTCTTGCTCCAAATATCCATTAAACAAGGCTAACAATTCATGGCTATCTCTTTCTTCTTCTTGTTCACTTGTTTCTCAGTACTCCAACTATCGCTCTTTTCGACAGCAATACTTCATAATGGAGCTCTCTCTAGATCACAACTCACTGCTCAACTAGACTCTTTATCCAAGAATGACACTCCTACGACTTATTTTGAAGTCACTAAGCCTATAAAATTACCTAAAACCAAACCTTGCTCGTACTCAGTCCTCAAACATGACTTTGGCTATACATATGGTAAACCACCGGTACTAGCAAATTACACTCCTTCAAATTGTCCATCTCAGAATTTTTCCAAGATTGTGTTAGAATGGAGAGCAACGAGTAAAGGAAGGCAATTTGATCGTATATTTGGAGTTTGGCTTGGTGGGGTTGAGATTTTCAGGAGTTGTACTGCTGAGCCAAGGCCTAATGGGATTGTTTGGACTGTCAAGAAAGACATTACTAGGTATTATTCTTTGCTCATGACCAATCAAACTCTTGCTGTTTATATAGGGAACATTGTTGATAGTACATATACTGGAGTGTATCATGTGAAAATATTTGTCCATTTCTATCCTGCTGATAAAGAACTGGGATTTGATTCTGGGGCTGATTTGATCATACCCATTTCGAGAAATCTGCCATTAAATGACGGTCTATGGTTTGAGATTGAGAATTCTACTGATGTACAGTCAAAGGAGTTCAAAATCCCACAAAATGCATACAGGGCATTATTGGAAGTTTACGTATCATTCCATGAGAATGATGAATTTTGGTATGGAAATTTGCCAAATGATTATATTACTGCGAATAATCGTACTGATATGCAGGGGAATGGTGCTTTTAGGGAAGTAATAGTAAGTTTAGATGATGTTGTAGTTGGTGCAGTTTGGCCTTTTACTGTGGTGTATACTGGTGGCATTAATCCTCTATTGTGGAGACCAATTAGTGGAATTGGCTCATTTGATCTTCCTTCTTATGACATTGAAATTACCCCTTTATTAGGAAAGATATTAGATGAAAGTATCCATAAGATTTCATTCAGTGTCACAAATGCTTTAAATGTGTGGTATATTGATGCAAATTTGCATCTTTGGTTGGATGAAAAGAGTGTAAAAACACAAGGGAAGTCGTTGGAGTATAGTAATTTGCCTCTTTCCTTTTCTTTGGCAAGCAATTTTAAAGGACTTGATGGATCCTTTGTCACGAATGCACGTAGGTCGATCTCGTTGAATGGATGGGTAAAATCATCTCATGGAACCATTACTACAAGGTCATCTCAAGATTTGAGTTATAGTAACAAAATTGTGATGGGAAATGAAGCGAACTTGCAAATTGTGGATCAAACTATTGATTTTAATGACACAGTTTATGCCAAGACGCCGTCTTTTTCTGGTAATGTTCTTGAATCCTTTAAAAAGTTTCAGTTTCAACTGTACTCTGATGGTGTTGAGATAGGAGATCAAAGCTATGTTTCTATTTCAAATGTGAGTTTGATATTTGATGAGAAGAGATTGAAGGGTTTCAAGAATGGAACCTCAACTAGCTCTATTCAAAATGTGCAAAAAGCACAAGGATATATGCTTTTAAAGGACCAGTCTATAGTCAGTGGAGTTGGGAGTACCCAACAAAGATATAAATATGATGACAATTCAGGCTGCTATCTCAGGAACATAAGCAGCTCAAATTATACACTGTTTTATGATAAGGTGAGTAATAGTTGTAACAAAACTACTCGGTTTCAGTGGTGATTTAAGAGAAAGCTTCAAATAATTGAACATATAATTTTGGAGTCAAACTCAACTGCTTTAACTTCTAATCTTGGTATTTAACTGCTAGATTGATATTTGAAAGAGTTTTTACATGTTGTTTTGCTAGCAATTTTTGTCTCTGAAATTTCAATTGGCCTCTTTTATCTTCCATTTGGATCTCTTCCTTCACACATAGCAATTACAAAGGCCGGATAACCAATAAGTTTAATTTTTATATTTGCAAAGATTCGAATTGGGGGTTCCTCAAGTTTGGAAGATTATGAATTTTTTCAAAAATGATCATATTCAAGAAGTTATGAATAATATGAATATCCATATTATCCACGAATAACCTATTTTTATCCATATTACATATGAGTTGGGTCAGCTAATTGATCCATTTTTATATCACTTGTTTTTAACACGCCCATATCCGGCCCGACCTGCTCACCATCCTAAAGTAAGTCCGCTTCACTGAATATCTAGATTTCAATTGTTCTAGCTGGAAAATATCTTCAACAATTTTTTCACCAAAAAGCAGTTTAGGAAAAGCTACTAACTTCTGAATAACTTATAGATTGCAAAAATTCTGCGGGTAAGTAATATAAGGGGGACGCTTGTTTCTCTCTTTTCTTTTTCTCGATAGGCTGGTATTTGTTTTAACAAAATGTTGATTTCCCCAAATCCTTCATTTCTCTTCTAACAATGAATAGTGAGCCCGTTTGGCCATGCATTTTTTTTCCCCACTTTTTTCGATTTTTTTTTTAAAATTAGTATTTGACCATAAAATATCTAATTTTCACTTGAAAATGAATTTTGAAAATTTGAAAAACTCCAGAAAGTTTTTTTTTTAAATTTTTGCTCAGATTACTCACAAAAATTTAAAAACAACCCAAAATTATATTTATGTCTAAACACAACTCTAATTTTTAAATACCATTTTCATTTGAATTTTTTTTTTTACTTTTTTCGGAATTTCACAAATTCTTATGTGCCAACGCTCACTTAGTTTGCCGTACAACAATATTTTGCTTTTTTTTTTTTCAACTGAATTTACTGGTGGCCTCTGTTTCAAAATTTGAAAAACTTTTCAAAATTGATAAACAGTCTTTGAGAAACATTAAAACAAAAATTAGTTGGAACTCTTCAAAAAAATTGAGCAAAGGCCATTTGAGTTCAACTTTAGAAACAGTCGCGAGTTTTCTTTGTAATACATCATCGACTATAAAGGCTCTAATTATTGCGAAAAAATAAAAAATAACCTAATTTGCAACTACTAATCAAAAATTAGCCATAATTTAAAATAATAAAAAATTAGTCACTTTTTCACGTAAAAATCTGAACAAAAAATACCTTTAAAAATTCGGGATATATTTCTCTCTCGGCGCATGTTTGCTTAACCTGCACCATCCATGAAAAAGAGAGTACGGATTCCCTCGCAGAAGGCACTAATGGCCCAGGAAGCTGCATCATATGGAGGAAAATCGGAAATCACCAAAGGAAGAAAGGATCTCAGCCAAAAGGGACAAAGGACAACATGCAAATGTCAAGCGAATCAATAATTGAAGGAATCGCGGACCAAAGCAATGGAACAGTAGATCTACAGAGTGCTGATAAATTAACTCCAAATCAAAGTGCGAATAGTAATCGAAGGATGACATGGGCAGAAGAGGTGGAAGCATAAGTTGAGATGACAACGAAGAGCTCAATTTGGGATAATTTCGACATTATCAAGGTCTCAAACGCAGGGTTCAAACTTGATTTTGTTGAACCACAAAAGCATGGTGAGTTACCTGTTTGTGAAATTGACATAGAGGACATAAGCACCGAAATAACATACTGGAAAAATGCAGTGGTATGCTATGTATTGGGGGCACATCCTCCATTCACGGTATTGAATGGATATATACAAAGGCAGTGGGCAAAGCATGGCATTAATGAAGTAGCGATGCTGAAAAATGGTATTGTATTAGTACATTTTGACACAGAATTGGGTAAGAATGAGGTAATCCAAGGAGGTATATATCACTTTGACAACAAGCCATTCATTGTAAAGGCTTGGAGTCCGGATATGGAATTCACTAGAGAAGAGTTATATACAATACCAATATGGGTGAAATTGCCAGGTTTGGACTTCAAATATTGGAGCCCTAAGGGACTTAGCAAAATTGGGAGTTTGATTGGGAAGCCGCTGATGGTGGACCAAAACACTGAGAAAAAAAGGGGCTCAACTTTGCTAGACTACTGATTGAAGTAGATATTGATACGAAACTACCTGAGAAGGTGTATTTCAGGAATGAGAAGGGAAACCTGGTGGAACAGAGAGTACACTATGACTAGAAACCTACTATATGCAAATATTGCCAGAAGTTTGGCCATGAGGAAGAAAACTGTAGGAAGAAGAACAAACCCCAGCAAGAGTCTCCAAAGAAGCTAGAAGAAGAGAGGCACAATGTAGCAGAAGAGCCAGAGACACAAGGAAGAACAGTAGCAGAAAACAAGAACTTGAAAGCAGCTGAGGTTTCAAAAGAAGCTGGAACAAGTAAAGGAGTTGAAAACACTCGGGGAACGAATCCACAACCTGGTAAAGGTGCATGGATTACTCCCCTGAACCCAAGCAAGCAACAATTAAACCATGGAGTAAAAGATC